CTAGAAGGTAAAGTTGGAAACTTTATCCTTCTAGACACCTTGGGGCTTTAGATCTAAGCCCTGGAGTCCCTGGAATTGGTGAATCATCACAACAAGCAAACAAGAAAAGGGACTCGACGAGGTGCTCTAGGAACTCGATGAGTCATCTGGGGTTTTATCAGGTTATCTAGACTCGATAGGAACTCGACGAGTTGCTAGCTGCACTTAACGAGTTGAGGTCAACATGGACTGTTGACTTTAACTTTGACCAAGATTGACCAGGGTTGACCTTGAGGGTAATTTTGGGATTTTGACAAATCTATCTTATGATGCTTACAGGCAGTTGAGTCGGAGCAACACGTAGGATATATCTGGTTCTAGCATTGTCAGTTTCAACATTCAAGAGAGGAGAGTCTTCTCACCATACCAACGGGTTTAAGGCACCAATGTTATCCCATTTTATGTTATGTGGTACACTAGCATTTGTAGAGATATGTGGTATGATAGTTAGCTTTGTGCTAAGTAGTATGCTAGTGATGTATATTATTTCATGGAAGACCCCGGGGGGATCCCGCAACAATTGGATATAAGACCATCTGAGTAGCCCATGGCATTCCCAGGTAAAGACCATGTACGATAGCCCATGACACAATGGTATAAGATTCTGGGGGAGCCCATGAGATCCTTACATGTTTATGTATGTGAATGTTGTATGTTAGACACTTCTGTGATATGATATGCTAGGTTGATTATGTATGTTATTGCATAAAACACGTTGGGTGGGGGGAGCCTGCGATATTTGGATATAAGAGCATGTGGGGTAGCCCATGGCATTCCCAGGTAAAGACCATGTGGGGTAGCCCATGGCACAAAGGTGCAAGACCTTGGGGGGAGCCTACGGCATCCTTACAAGTTTATGTATGCATGGCTTATGTGGTATATATAGTTTTTATAACTAATATGATATGTGTTACGTGGATTGTGGTGGGGTATGCTCTAGGGAACTCACTAAGAATTATCTTACAAGTTGTGGATTCGTTTCAGGTTCGCCGGATCCCACAGGCAAGAGCAAGGCATCATGACGCGGCTTGCACTCTCACACAGGCGTTTTATGGACACTTTGATATTTTAAATAAAAGTTGTAATTGGTATGAGTTTGAAAACAATTATATATGGGATTTGTAATTTATGGAAACGTGTTTGGATAATCAAAATGAACATTTTCCTTTGAAAAATTAGGTTGTTACAACTATGCTTACTTATTTTTGGCTAGAAGCAGCAAAATGGGCATGTCATGTGTTAAACAGGTGAACAAGTAGGAGCCTTGATGAAAAAGGTACCGGATGAGTTATGGAGAGGGTCAAAACCAAGTGTTCAAAATTTTAAGGTATTTGGATGTATAGGGTATGTGCATATACCTGCTCAATTACGAACAAAACTGGATGTAAGAAGTCATAAGTGTGTATTTCTGGGTATCAGTCAAGAATCAAAAGCCTATCGATTGTATGACCTAGTAAGCAAGAAAATAGTGATCAGCAGAGACGCCATTTTTTATGAAGATTCGGCATGGGATTGGTCTAAAGAGAACCAAAAAGTACAAGAGCTAATTGTAGAAGATGATGAACAATTACAAGAGAATCAACAGGAAGATGATAATTTTGAAGAACCACAAAGTCCTCCAAACTCAACACCAGACTCTGAAATTGAAGCAATCACACCTGTTCAAGGAATGTCCCAAATTGAAAACACACATGAAGATCCTAACAACTTTGTCTCAACTACCTCAAGAGATTTGCATGATCAAAGCACATTAACATCACAACCTAAGGCATCCACTCGTACTCGAAGACCACCTATGTGGATGAATGACTATTACACAGATCAAGTCATGTTCAATGAAGACGAAGTGGGTCTCGCTATGTATAGTACCATAGATGATCCCGTAACGTATGAAGAAACCTGTAAAGATGAAAAATGGGTACAAGCAATGAATGCTGAGATAATTGCTATAGAAAGAAACCATACGTGGGAATTAGTTGACCCTCCAATTGGAACCAAGCCTATAAGAGTAAAATGGGTATATAAGACAAAGCTCAATGAACTTGGAAAGGTTGAAAAATACAAATCCAGATTAGTAGTCAAGGAATATGCCCAACGAGAAGGTGTAGATTATACTGAAGTGTTCACCCTTGTAGCCCGATGGGACACGATCAGGACTCTAATATTAGTGGCAACACAAAGAAAGTGGATAGTGTATCAATTAGATGTTAAAAGTGCCTTCTTAAATGGTAAGCTCAAGGAGGTAGTTCATGTCACTCAACCAAAATGGTTCATAAAGAAAGGAAAGGAAGCTAAGGTGTACAGGTTAAAGTGTGCCCTGTACGAATTAAAGCAAGCTCCACGATCTTGATTTAATCGGATAGAAGGTTATTTCATATGTGAAGGGTTCAAGAAAAGTAGCCATGATCACAGGATATTTGTAAACAAGGTACATGAAAAGGTCATCATTGTTAGCTTATATGCTGATGATTTAATCTATGCTGGGAACGATCTAGTGATGTGTGAGTCATTTAAAAAATCTATGCAACGTAAATTTGAAATGACTGATCTAGGGAAGATGAAATTCTTTATTGGAGTGGAAGTTAACCAAAATTCAGAAGGTATCACATTGTGTCAATCACAATATGCAATAGAAGTCCTAAAGCGCTTCAGAATGTGGGAAGAAAACAAGGTAAGGAATTCAATTGTTCCGGGTACAAAACTTATGAAGCTCACAGCAAGAAAGGACGTGAACAACACCAAGTATATGAGTCTCATAGGAAGTCTCGTGTACTTAACAGTGACACGTCCATATTTGATGTATGTGGTCGGCTTGTTAGCTAGATTTATGTCAAAACCCAAATAGGAACACATGGCTATGGCAAAGAGAGTATTAAGGTATATAAAGGGAACTATAAATTATGGGATGCACTACAGGAAGGATCGAAGTCAGAAGTTGACGGTGTTCATGATAGTAATTATACGTGAGATCTAGAGGACTAAAAAAGCACTTCTGGTTATGTGTGTTTGTTTAGTGGAGCTACAATATGTTGGAGCTGATGTATGTAAGAAGTGGTCACCTTGTCAACAACTGAAGTTGAATATGTTGCGGCTACAACATGTGCATGTCATTGTGTATGGCTAAAAGAATTACTCAAAGAACTTGAAGAAAAAACTGGAACAGTGGAGGTTATGAGTGATAATTGTTTAGCCATAAAGCTTTCAAAGAACCCGGTAATTCATCCAAGAACAAAGCATATAGATGTCCATTTTCATTTCATCAGAGAATTGGTGAATAAAGATATCATACAGCTAAAATTATGTAGAACAAAAGAGCAGCTAGCAGACATCATGACTTAGCCACTATCACTGAATGCATTTGAGATGATCAGGAAGGAAATTAGGATGCAAGATGTTAAACAAGAAGCTTAATGCTTACTTGTTTAAGGGAAGGAATTTATTGGGCTGATCTTATGATTGGGTTAGCCCACGTTTATTTGAGTCTGTTTAATAAGGCCTATACCATCTGTCTATATGACTTGGTAATCCATTTTACTAGGCCATGTCTTCTTATCTTTCTTAGCTTTTTCCGTCTTTGTTTATGTGTAATGGTTATTTAAAGCCCCTTAGCCCTTTAATAAATTATCTGAAGTTTGTGTGTCAAATCAACTTGTTATCACTTGTATTCAACAAGATATGAAACAACAAGAAAATCTAAATGTTTGACAACTTTAGTGATAGAAGAAGTTCCAATATGAGAGATGTGTAAGTGATTACCATTACAAAATACCATTTGTTCCTTGCCTGAATAGGAAGATGAAGAATTAAGATTTGTAGTAGAGTTGGTCATATGTAAAGAAACACCAAAATCAACAAACTAGTCTGGAGTGTTAACACTGCACTGAGCTTAAAAAGCTTGAGCAAGGTTAGCATCAAAAGGAGAACTGTGAGTAACATAAGTAGCGAGATCAGGACCTGAATTGGCATAGTGGTCATTCTTGCGACAAAGATTGACAATGTGGGGGGCGTCTTCCTCGACCATGACCGACGGAGGAATCACCCCTACCTTGAGTTATCGGTCGTCCTTTAGAAGAAGGATTGTGAGTGCAAGTAAATTGAGTATTAAAGGTAACCGGAGGGGTAAAGTTGTTCATGGAGGCAAGAAAGAGTTCATGACTCTCCGCTTGACATAACAGATCATGGAAGTAGGTGTGGGGACATAAAACTCTTTGATTTGTTAAAAACGTCTCTAATGAAGACCCAAGGCCAAGTAAGAACCAACGGGTCTTATCCATCTCACTAATGGGATGGCCAATTGCACTTAGTTAATCACATGTAGCCTTAAACTTGCGACCAAACTCGCCAAAGCAGGTAATTAGTGGAATTAAGCTTCACCGTGAGAAGATGAAGAATTGTAGCGATAGAAAAGGGTGTTTCTATGAGCTGCCGACTATGGAAAAGAAGAGGGGATTTTAGAGTTGGGATCATTTTTAAGGCTGATACCATATAAGAGTTATTGATTTTCCATTAAAATTATGGGTTGTACATTGATGATATATATATAGTGCACAAATACAACAGATAGTAACTAACTAGCCATACAAATAGAGATTTAAAACTTAAATCAAATCAAATCTAATTGCATTGAATTATCTCTAATAAAGTGCCTTAATATGCTTGAGAACAAAATATAAGTGTATTGAACGATTGAACATGTTAAATTATGTTTAATAATGTTAGTTGAGTGTTTGAAATGTCACTTATAAAGAGAATGATTGTGTTAAATTATGTTTAATAATATTAGTTGAGTGCCTTGAAGTATGACGAAAAAGTAAAAGTTAGCGCAAATTGTGCTAAAGTGTGTTAATATAAAGGTATATGCATGAAAACATGTTACAATAGATATGAGAAGTGAATAAGAATTAGTATAAATCATGCTAAAGTGTGTTAATATAATGGTAACTTCATGAGAACATGTTACAGTAAGTATGAGAAGTGAATTTGAGTGAAAAGTTACAAGTATAAAAGTGAAAGTAGTGAAATTGCAAACTATGTTTGTATTATATGCAAAACAGGGACAAAAGTGTAAAACAGGTAAAAGACACATAAAGACAAGGTCTAAAACTTTGACTTGAGTTGACTTTTTGTTGACCACAAATTTAAGCAAGGAAGCACCTTATTTTCTTGTCATTTCAGCAAACAAACCTTTCGAGAGTTAATGTGTGTAACCCATGGGAGATCATGTTTTAGTTTAGTAACACGCACTTGTAGTTATATTATAACGGTTTAATAAGTTCACATTTTTGTTTTGGGTTATTTAATGTTATTAAAACCCTTTTGTATGGATACAAAATTACAAATCAAACAAAGGAAACAATTCTTCCAATTTTTCTAATGACTTCGCAGATTATAAAAGTTATAGTGTGTAAATACATATTCCTTGGTAACAAATTTGAATCAGAACAAACATCGGTTATTCACAAATCATAATTACCAAAACTTTAATACAAACAAACAACAGGCTAATCAGCTTCCTGTACTCCCTCTAACACAATCGAACCAACAAACAATCCGGTAGCTGTGGCAGCAAGCGTACCTGCAATGACGGTCTGCACCACCACGAGAGCGGTAGAATCATCTGGGATGTATACAATTGCTAGTATCGCCGCCACCAGAACTGGCAGCGCCGCCGATGCTAAAGCTGCCGGAGAGAATCCGGCCGCGGTTTCAAGCAAGCTGAGAAGCCCTAGCTCCTCCGCTTTTGACAGAATCCCCAATTTCTCGATGGATGAAAGAGTGAATCCTAGCTTCTCCGCCTTGGATAACAGCCCTGCTTTCTCGACGTTGCTCAACACTTTACGTTTTTCGAGCTTTTTGAATACGTCGACGTTTACTTCTTCGCTTCCTTCGAAGAACAGCCCAGCCCCAAACCACTCCTTTTTCCAACTTTTGTCGTACTTGTTCACCTGCAATTCGTGTAATCGTACTTGACTTGTAAATCAAAAGAAGAAAACAATTTGAATCTAGTACAAGTATGCGATTGGATTGGAGCGGATTGGATTGTAATACACAAATGTGAAGATCCACGGTTATTCATGATGATTGAGATTGAATTCACGTCTAATTTCAGTAACAACAAATTAAAAATAATCGAAATATAGTTTCGTTTATTGTGTACCTTCTTTTTCGGTGCCATGGCTAAAATCTTGGAGGATTTATTGGCGGGAAAGATACGACGGAGCGGCGAAGTGTTAGCAGAACTGAGACGACGGTCAACGGTCTTGAGAAAAGCTGTAGCGGTAGTGGTCGGAGGTGCTGTTGACACCGCCATTTTTCAATTTTTTTGGAGATTTTTCTCGAAGGGAGACCTCAGCTCAGATCCTCTTCTGTCTGTGTATCTTTGTTTGGGGCCAAATTGCTCGCTCTTCCATCAGCCAATCATATGCTGATAGGCCTATCTATCTCCACCAAATTGTATAAACAATGTTTAATTACTACTTTACCCCTGTTATATAAATTGGGTGATACATTATAAAATTATTTATAATATAGAATAATAACTTGAAAGGGTAACAAACTTTCGATTTTTGTCACATTTAGTCACTAAACTTTTTTTCATTATCTATTTGCCATTGAACTATTGAAACTGTTCACATTTTACCCTTATGATCGGCTGTTACCAGTCATAAGGGTAAAATGTGAACAGTTTCAATAGTTTAGTGACAAATAGATAATGAAAAAAAGTTTAGTGACTAAATGTGAACAAAATCGAAAGTTCGTTTCCCTCTAAAAAGTTCAATGACTAAATGTGAACAAACTTTCTATTATATTATGTTTTAGTAAAATTATTTATTTTTGTTTAATTGTAGCAATATTTGTTGATGAAGAAATCTATGAAATAAAAAAACAAAATGTAACATCCGGATTTCCAGGTATCATCATTTAAGTATTTTTCTTTTGAGTTAAGAAGAGAGACTCGACGAGTTGACGCCTCAACTCGTTGAATAAGGTCGTGACTGATGACTCGGATTAGTGAATGGACTCGACGAGTCGGTAAGGTGACTCGACGAGGCTGCGCTGTTGGCAGAAACCCTAAATCTTTGGGCTTGAGCCATATTTAAAGGCACTTATGGCGTTCAATTGCGACTACCCTTCCCATAAGTGAGAACCCTAACGAGCTTGAGTGTGTAGAGTGAGAGGAAGAGTTATCTTGAGCTTTTTGGTGTGATAGATCTGAACCCTTCTAGGTTTAGAGAGCCGAAAATATGAAGCTTTAGTAGACTAAACATTGGGGTTCAAAGTTAGGAAGCATTTATGGTATATATATAGTTACTTTCATCTTACACATAGATATGAAGTATTTTATATAAATTACGTGTTATGTGTGCATATTATTTGAATACTTGTTGTCTATGTTGGATGAACGATTTTATACATGTTTTAAAAGATTTAAATGGTATATTTATTTTATATCTACAAATATGTTGCGGATGAAACATGGGTAGATGAAATAGTTAGTGTGTGATGAAATAAAATGATGAGAGATAGGTGATGATAGAAAGGTGGTGATAAATTAGATAAATAGATGATGATGAATATGTGATGTAGGATAAAAGGAGATACCATAACCTTAACCAGCAATGTGGCGATGTAGTCATCGACCAGAGTATAGATGCCGACCATGGACTATTCTAGACAACCCAGTGGAAACACCAGCAGGCCCATAACCTGTAGGTGATGAATTACGAGTTCAGGCGATGTTATAACTACGTATTCATGTGATGATACTCTAACCCCTTACTATGAAATACGAGTTCAGACGATGTTGTAACTACATAATTCACATCAGTGAGAATGATTCATTTTTTTGTAAAACCAAAATCAGATTGGAAATTTTGATTTTTTATTTTGGAAAATGTCAAACCATTGGTTTTTTATTTCGGTTTTGGTTTTTTGTTTTTTTTTTTAAATATATTTTCAGGGTTTTGTTTTTGTTTTTTTGTTTTTTGTTTTTGGTTTTTTTTTATTTTATTTTATTTCGTAGATTTCTTCATTAACAAATGTTGCTACAATTTAACAAAAATAAATAATTTGCTAAAACATAATACAATAGGAGGTTTGTTCACATTTATTAATTGAACTTTTTAGAAGAAAACGAACTTTCTATTTTGTTCATATTTAGTCACTAAGCTTTTTTTTGTTATCTATTTGTCATTGAACTATTGAAACTGTTCACATTTTATCCTTATGACCGGCAACAATCGGTCATAAGGGTAAAATGCGAACAATTTCAATAGTTTAATGGCAAATAGATAACGAAAAAAAATTTAGTGACTAAATGTGACAAAAGTCGAAAGTTCGTTACCCTTTCAAGTCATTATCCCTTATAATATTCCATCAATCCAAATATTATTGTCCACAGATAAAAAAACACAAAGATCTTAAAAAAAATATTGATTACCACTAACTTTATTTAATAAAATGATAGTTTTGTGCTTACTTTACATTTAATATTCCATTAATACTTAGTTGGTTAAGTAATAATTAGAAAGTATTTTGGTAAAAATATTATTTATTTTTAGAAGTAAACTATTATTTTAAAACAAACAAAAAAAGAAATATGGACTATAATTTCGAAATAAAGGAAGTATCTCTGAACTTTTTTTAATAACCACAAAATTCAACATTTTCAAACATATTATTGAATCTACATAATACTTTATTTGGAATCAAGATCCTCTCTTGTTTACATTTTGTTTTTATTTAGTCAATCGGAAAAAATAACTTAATATGAGAATATATTTAACACTTTATATACATTTAATCATTCATATTTTTTTTTATACATTTAGTTCTTAATATTTTTTTTTTGTTGAAAAATAAGTTTTTGTTTGTATGCATTTAGTATTTATAACCTGGCTTTTTAGGTTTTTTCTTACAAATCCTACGTGGAACAATCATTAATGATGTGTTCGCCACTGTTGATGCTTATAGCCAACACGACCTCAGTTGTTTGGTTTCTTAGGTCTTGTATTTCTTAGGTTTTGTATTTTGAACATCTAACTTCTTAATACGATCTTAAATTTTAACAATCTTTATATCAACACGTTCATATTTAAGTTTACTAAAACTTATGTTTAGATTACTAATGTTAAAAAGTAATATATTTTTACTTAAAAGCTTTATATACATGCATTTTTTATGAATGTATATATAAATGTTTTTTTTTTTTATAAAATTGTAAGTTTGAAGATGGTTTTCTTTAATGAACTTGACCCATCCATCCATTAAGTAGTATTTGTCTTTGACTTTAACGTATTTGATACTCCATTCAACAACATATTTGTTCTTGAGAACAACTGTTGCTCTCTTGTTGTTGTCTTTTTCTAAATACTTCTCAGCAAAAGCAGGTAGCAATGGCTGCAAAATATGATGAAGAACTAAAAATCTACGTAATGAGAAGCAAAAAAAAATGGTTCATATGAGAGAGAGAGAGAGAGAAAGAGAGAGAGAAATTGTTGCAGATGACTATATAAATGGACGTAATAACTCTTGGCATACGTGACAACGGTGAGTCGACTCACTACTGAATCATTATTAACTCACCTGCTTAGTTGCCAATTAACAAGGTAGTGTAATCTTAAAAAATAGGTAAAGTTACCAAGTTAATCGTTAAAACACAAGTTCCTACTGTTTAAAGGCAAAAAAAAAAAAAAGTCACGAACGATCATTTATTTATTTAAATCAATATACAAAACATTGTTGGGCTACAGTAATAACCTGTACAAGAAAGCAGAAATAGGAAGGTAATTATCTAATAATAAAGACTACAAAAAGTTATGCTAGGGGTTTGTTCGACTAACTCTTTGGTAAGAGAGGCGAAGTTTTCTTGACGATAGAAACATCTAAAATATATTTCCTTTAACATTCAAAACTACTTTTATATTTCCTTTAGCATTTAAGGCCAAATATACTGCTAGATTTCATTTTTAGTGACCAAATTACTCAAACCAAGGAGTTAACAACCAACATACACTCTTAACTTGCTTGACGATAGACAATATATAAGAAGTACACTTCAGTAGGATTCATAGTTTTTCAATGGTAATTTCAAGACCATCTTCTAGTTTAGAGTGTGGAAGATATTTCACTTTCGCATCTGGATTCACCAATTGCCATCTGAAATCCATTTCAAATTCAACGGTAAATTAATGTTAATAGAATGTTCTACCTTTTTAATCAAAATCTATGTTCTACTTATGTAATGACACATATTTAATGCCTTCATACTTGTATCCCGTGGATAAATGATGGAGAAACATTGCGATTTGTAAACGAGCGAGCATATTTCCGACACAGATTCTCGGACCCGCACCAAATGCTTGAAAGTTTTCTGGTAGCATTGATCCCTTAAAAACATATACATTACTATTAGTTTTAAATAAAGGAAAAAAGATACTACATCAAGAACTCTGAGAAGCTTAGAATATCAAACTTACATTCCATCTTTCAGGGTCAAAACACAATGGATGATCGAAGTTTTTAGGATCTGTGTGGACATTCCTAAGCCATACAATCACATTCCATCCTTTTGGTATAGTATACCCTACATTATAAATAAAATATTTGGCTGTAAAAACATAAAACAAGTAAATAAATAGCTCCCTAATTACCACTAGCAACTTCCTAGCATTGCGTTAATAAATTCTTGTTGCCGTCCAAAAAAAAACATACCTTGATACTCAAAATCTTTTGTTGCTACACGCACTACAAAACCAGCGATATTCGCCAATCGAATTGTTTCATCCACAACCTGAATGCACGAGTTTCAAAAAAGAAGATTCATACATCAAGACAATTAATAACTCGAAGATGATTTAATTATCATATAACCAAAATAATCATACCTTCATGGTATATTCCAACTTTAAAATCTCATCGCTTGTTACAAGGAGTTCGCTCTTACTGCTTTTGAGAGACAAGTTCTCCTCCTATACATAATTGCGTGTGTTAAGATAAAGAAGTTCGAGCCAAAGAAAGTAAACCATGGGGAGGTGAAGGTATACCCGTAGCTTTTGTAAAACGTTGGGGTATTTCGCAAGATAATAAAGAGCCCACGTGGTGACGACGACAGTTGATTCAAAGCCAGCAAGAAGAATGCCAGTAATGTTATCAAGAACCTCAGTGTCACTCAAATGGTTTCCTTCTTCATCCTTGATATTCATCAAACCACCCATTAGATCTTGAATAGGTTGATCATTTTCACCGTTGTTTTTTCTCCTTTTATCCAACTCTTCCCTGAAAAACTCTTGGGTTTTTCTTCGACACTGTCAGAAAAAAAATTCAACGGAGCAGATATCATCTAGTTAACTTGAAAAACATATAAATTAAACAATGAAAAAACATGATAATTAACTACCTGAAGCGCATGATAAAATGTAAATCCTGGAATATTCAATGGGTAGGCTCTGAATCCACTAACTACTCCGGCTAAG